GGACGGCCCGGACGGCCGCGCGGAGACGGCCGCGGGAACGGCTCCCTCCGCCGCCGCTGCCGCCGTTGCCCGGGCCCCGCCGCCGTTGCTAGGCGACCGCTGCTGCCGTGGCCGCCTCTGTCACGAGCCCCGTCGCCCGGAGACAGCGTGAGAGAGACGGGGGAGGGGGACCATGGGACCCCCAAAACCAACTGGGCTTCCCACCATCGCCTCCTGAACAGGGACCCCCCAAAAAAGAAAAAGCCCTAGGAGGTTAGCGGCTCCAACCCGCAGAGGAGGAGCCCGGATTCCAATGCCCCTCAAAGGTCCGGCGACCTCTCCGGGGCGGGAGAGCCCACAGCCTCCGCGGAGCGCTTTGCGCACGAAGCCCCGAGGTCCCAGGACCCCTGTCCCCTGCACATCCCCCATACCCTCTACACGTTCCAGTACTCTCTGGAGAGCCCTAACGTCCACCACCTATTAACTTTCACTAAAGCCTCTCCCCCATGTGTGTGAGTGTGTGTGCGCCCCTGGAGCCCTAACAACCTCTACCAAACCCAGAACAGCCTCCGCAGACCCCACCCAACTCCGCATATATACGATATCCCCACCTAAAACACAGGCGACCCATGCCAGAGGCCCCCAAGACTTAGGACTCAGGGAAATGAGAAGATGGAGCATGATGTGGGCAGGGCTGTCAACCACAGGACTCAACATGCTGTGTTGCCATTCTGGCATGGGTACACAGGTACACACTGCACACAAACATGCACTAGACACGGACGTGGCAAACATACACACAGGTGTGACAGACATCACACATACTCTGTACACACTCCACCACCACCTGGCTTGGCCTCAGAGATGTGCTACCCACGCCCCACGCCATGGTCAGTTTCCATGGCAATGGCACCCTTCTCTGACCCCTGGCCCGGGATTCCCCAAGCTGGCCCCCAAAGGGCAGTGAAGCTTAGACCTATCAGAAGGCAGCTGGTGGGAGCCACCCAGGTACCACAGCCCAGGGCTCTCTAAGTGAGCACCTGGTAAGCCTGAGGAGGGGGACGATGGGCGAGAGGGGCCGCTGGGTGTTGGATGTGACCTGGGCCCAGGGTCCTGGAGGGAGATGCAGAGAAAGGGGGCAGCAACCGGGGGCTTCCGGGGACTGAGGGCGTCTCTCTGCACCTTGGCTGCAGATCCCTGTTCTCTGCCTTCATCTCCCCTCACTGTTCCCATGGAAACCTTTTAAGCGAACTTCTCAGGAAGACAAAAATCTTTTTTTAAATGACTAAAGAGGGGGGTAGGGGGTAGAAGGGGGAGGGAGGGGAAGAGACAGATGGAGAGAGGGAGAGAGTTGGAGAGACCGAGAGCAGAGAGCTCCGCAGACTGGGATGGGGTCCGCTGGAGATCCACCGGGAGCAGAGGGGAGGGAAACAGCATGGGAGGAAAAGGGGCGCAGCCGCAGCCCCTAGAGCCCCGGGATAAGAAGAGGGAAAGAGGGAGAGGCCCGGCCGAAGGTCTGAAGAAGAATCCGGAGCATGGGGGTGGGACCGAGCCGGGGGAGGGCAGGAACTAGGTCACTCTTAACAAGTGCCCAGACCAAGCCGGGAGGGCCGGGGACGGACACCGGACCAGAACCGGAGATCTAAGCAGACTATTTTTACGAGCGCCAGGCCATAGTTGCTGCTGGAGAGGGAAGGGCGCAAGGCCGAGCCGCGGCGCGGGGGCCGCTCACCAACAGCCCCGGTCCACGCGGTCGCGCCGCCGCCCCCCCACCCCCCCACCCCCGCCCCTGCCCGCGACTGTCGGGCACGGGAGCCTGCTCGGCCGCCGTACCATGCTCGCCGTGGGGCCGCCCCTCCACCGGCACGGAGACCGTGCGTCTCAGCAGTTTGTTGCGGCTGGACTCGCTCCTCCGGTCCCGGATCAGAAGGGGGTGTATCTAGGGGATGGGGGGGT